CATATTTCTGAATTCACTTTTTCAAAATCAGCTTCCGAAAAAACAGGAAATCTTTCGATCAAATGTTTAGCTTTTTCGATTGAAACTACTGACTACCACGTATCATCAAACTAACCGTCATAGCCATAAACTAATAGCATAATGGCCTTTTAATTTATTTTTTTTGGAAAATGCAATATGAATTTATACAAAAAATTACCTAAATTGTTTTGTTTTTCAAATTTTACCCCCTTACAAAATCTTCCATTCGCCTGATTACAATTTGCAGCGTGGCAGTGTCTTTTGTGAAAAACTGCCCACTTACACACCTCGACGCACATGCGTTCGAAAAATGACGCGCCCGGGGCCCAACCAAATTAAATTTTGGCACATGGAATACGCCATGGATATACGCATTTGCAGGAGCGAGTAGAATATATGTTGTTGCGTTCTGGCCCGGATCCGACAACGGGGGCAGAAACGCCGTGGGGGAGGGGGGGGGGCTATCAAAGACTCAAAGGGATCAGGGTAATTGTCCCGAATCTCGCATGACATAACATTAAATTCACAGGAATTAACTTTAAAATTATACGACGTGGGTTCAAATTAACAGGAATTTGCAGAACGAACTTTAAATTCCGCCACGGCGGAAGTCATATTTAGCATATCATTAACATATTTGAACTTTGAATTCACTTTATTTAACAATGACTTTGGTGAATTATTTGATCTAGAAACTACATGTGTCTATAATGCATCAATTATCTTCTGTGCACTGATGACCTGCTCTATTAACTCTATGTCTATAGACCTACAATAATTATTATTATTATTTTTATTCAGCAGCTCAGATGTGTAATTTTACAAGTTTTGTTCCCGGTCTATGATACATTGCAAACTGGCGCGTATGTTAAAATCTGTGAAATTAAATGGCTGACTAATTCTCGTCAAGATACGAATGATGGTGGCAATGTAAATGTAATGGATCCCTATGTAACCATTATGACCTCCATATTACTTTTTGCACAAAACACAGGTCAAACATTCATTTTTCTATGGGAAGAACTTGACTTATTAATACATTTTATGACGTGTGTCAAAATTAATAATTATCTAACTATTTTGAAACAAAACAATCTGATAGATTTTCGTCACTATATTAGGTCGTATAGCAACTGGCCTTAAATGAACAAGAAAACTATGTGCTACCACCCGACATGAAAACCTGTACATAACAAATAAAACAACATTACGGATCATTTTTACCAAAACATAGAACGCTAAAATTACAATGTAATTTTTGAATAAATACATTCCTATAAAATGTTCTATTATACCATGTATAACAGCGCAACAGCTGCAGGACCCAGTTTAATCTCCTCGTTAGCCAGCCCTCCACGGTCATAATAGCAATTCTATCGTTTTAATTTATTTGATAGCTAAGGGGCAGTGTCTTGTTCTGAAATAATCACTGCATGAGAATGATATTAACCCACGTGATCCTGGGGTGTGTGTGCGTGGGAGGAGAGATTCAGTAAAAAATATGACGCAGGTGTGCATAATAAACGCTGTTTATCTATTGTGTGGCTTCGAAAATCGGTCATAATGCAACGATCAATTTATACCACCGGGGAGGGGTGACAACAAGACAACATCAGCCGTACCCTTAGGATTTTTAATGTACGACGAATTTGGCAACGCCTTGGAACTTGAACCAAATGATAAAATTACCTTTACTTTACTTTTTACGGCAACTTTACGAAATTTTTATAAAAATTAAGAACGTTTCACGACCAGCGACATGGATCTCCTATCGTGAATCGAAATTGCAATCTTGTCACCTGGGTTTGTTGCGCTGCTAACAAAACATGACTTAGGTTGATAGTTTGATAGAGCGTCACCGCTTAGTACTTCATACAATTTCAGATCTCAGAGTGGGGGAATTTGACACTATTGTAAAAATGATAGCATGCATGACTGGTTACCGACATTGCGGAAAGTGCAACGAGTCTTGTACTACTACTAGGTTTATGAAATGAACATGTTAGACATAGAGGTTTGAATTTGGATTATCTGCTTTTGTTATTTATCTCAGAGAAGAATTGTATCTTTTCTTTGAGGGAAGTTATTGCCTAGTTCCCCGGTAAAAAATAATGCTTCAGTCAGTATTTCATAGGGGTCACATGTCCATTATGGCACCAATCAGGGTAGACTTACAAAGTGACCAATGCACATTCCAATAAATTGAGGTGAGCCACTCACACGCTTCCAGTCATGCCTCTTCTTCACCGGTGAGGGCGTATTTTATAGCGCTGTTAGATTCAGTCGAACCGTGCTTTTCATGAGTTATTCTAATCATTAAATATCCCGCCCCTTGAAACACAAATACCCTCTACTTATCACGTACTAGTATTCACTAGTTCAAAATCATGGTACATGTAAATCGTTATATCAACAAGAAACAATACGACAACTTAATGTTCATTGGCGCTATATCAGAGGATACTATGTTCATTGGCGCTATATCAGAGGATACTATGTTCAGTGGCTCTATATCAGGGGATGCTATGTTCAGTGATTCTATATCAGAGGATGCTTTGTTCAGTGATTCTATATATGGGGATGCTATGTTCAGTGGTTCTATATCAGGGATTCTATGTTCAGTGATTCTATATCAGGGGATGCTTTGTTCAGTGATTCTATATCAGGGGATGCTTTGTTCAGTGGCCCTATGTTAAGTGATTCTATATCAGGGGATGCTATGTTCAGCGGTCCTATATCAGGGGATGCTATGTTCAGTGGCCCTATATCAAAGGCTGCTATATTCAGTGGCCCTATATCAAAGG